CTTTTCTTTTTTTTTTTGTCCTTGTTTGTGACCGGTAAGGGGATCGCAACCCTTGGCTTGGTGTCGCCCGCACCGCACTCAGCCAGTGAGCGCACCAGCCATGCCTATATAGGATCCGAACCCGCGGCGGGAGCGTCGCTGCACTCCCAGCGCTGCACTCTCCCGAGTGCGCCACGGGGCCGGCCCCACTGATGATTTTAAAACCATTTTACTTAACATCATTTGGAAGAAGCCAGGAGTATCCACACATAATCTACACACCTGTGGCATGTGTATCCCATGTCCACATGTGAAAAATGGAATTGTGTCTATTCAGCAAATCTTAAATGCCCTGAGTCTGGTCCATCAGAGCTGTGATCAGCACACACAACTCATTTGTATATTGTAGCATCTTTGCTTCTTATCGCTGTTTCTGGGCATTTTGTTTAATTTGAAACTCAGTACACGTGGGAAAATATTAAAAGAAAAAAATAAATGGCTTCATAGTTAAACAGTCAGTGTTTGGTTGGAACCTCGTGCTTGACAATTTGAAGCTATTCTGTTAGCAGTGCCCTGAAGTGCATCAGCATTGATCGCAACAACATGCTTTATTTACTCTGTAGTTATTTACTTCATCATAGAAACTTAGACCTGCTGATTTTCATTAAATCAACTCCACAGTCTGGAAAAAAAAAGGGGAGGGGGTGAGAGAAGGATGGGTTCTGTGTACAGAACTTAAACAGAAAACTCCTGCCTTTTGCCTGATCAATACCTGTTGGAAGAGGTATACGTACAACCAAAGCAGGAACAAGCTCTCTTCTGGAATTAGGGAGAAAAAAAATCTGTGGCTATCAAAAGCACTGAATCCACAGGCTAGTTAGCTACTGACTCCCAGACTACGAGGGAAGACGAGGGGAAATAAGGTTACATGAACATGATTCAGCCAAATTCCTATATTTTAGCACTATCATCCTGGTAAAATTAAGTAAAAACTGCACATATGAGTATTAGCTGTCACAGAATCCTTAACGAATACTACCTGAGGCCAAAAAATTAAAACCGTGTATAAAGATATTAAAGTTGTTTCTTGAGAAAAAAAGATGTGACATATGTTGAACTCAACCATCTGTTTTTACAGGATTTTAACAAACTGACCAAAGGACTTAAAGTTATGACCCTTTTAAATGGGTTTCTTGGATAGTCAACTTTACTGGTAACTGTGACGTTAATTTAGGATAACTACAGCAATTTACTAAGAAACACATTCAAAAGGCAGTATAACTTCACTAAAAATCAAGAGAAATCATGGAGTTGCAACACTTTTTGTGAAAGAATGAAAGAAACCTTGCCTCCAGATGGAAGGTCAAAGTTTTCTGTGGACAATACAGGTCTCCAGGAACAGACATGACAAAATAGCAATACAAATTATTTTTACATGAGCAGAGAATCCTGGACTTCACATGTACATGAGATAATCACACAATGTAGAGTTTTATTATCCCTATTCTGAAGATTCTGAAGATGGAGAATCTAATTAGAGTAAATATATGGGCTAGCAAAATATACACAAAGAATTAGTGAGCCACTGTTGAGAGGCAAAGAAAGATGATTTGACCTATCGGTTTTCTAAACTCTAGGGTTTTTTGGTTTTTCTTTCTTTTAAAAAGCAAACAACCCCCCGAAACCTATCATACTGACTTGAAAACCAAGGAACTAATCACTGATCAGTCAATCACTGTGGATATTCAAGACGGTGGTA